TCCCCCCCCCTCCTCACCCCTTCATGGCCTCCCCGGCTGCCTTCACAGGTTTCCCTCTGAGCCCCACCAAACTCAGCCACCATCCCCAGTTCTCCTATATCTGAGGTCCAGGTTCGCGCCGCAGCAATTCCTCCAGGGGCGGAGGGGCAACGGAAAATGGACGGGAGCTGCGACCTGGGCGGGAAGAGTTGGCAGCAGAGCACAACACGGACACTTGTGATGGTGATGAGGAGGAGGAGGAGGAGGAAGAGGAGGGAAACCAGTGGAGTTAAAATACAGTAAAACAACAACTATATAACAATGATGAACATTCTGGGGTGTTTTTTGTTGTTTTTTTTTTTTTGTTTTTTTTGGAGGACAGATGAATTAACTTCTGTGACTCTTTGACGAGGAGCTTCACATCAATCAGATCTGAAAGACTTCCTGCAGAATCTCTTCAGCCAGCAGAGGGACGGACTGGACCCACAGAGCTTTAGAAGAGAACGTTACCAGACATAATTAATTCACAAATGATGATGATGATGATGACGATGGTGGTGGTGGTAAGGAAACGTTGATTAAGAATGTCCTTTGCACATTACCTCCTGTCACGTGGTGTTTCTGAGATCTTCATCTGATTAGACGCTGGAACATCATTTTATCCTCGTTGCTGGCGGGTCACTCGGCCGCCCCGTCATCTCTGTTGCCTTGTAGCATGTGTGAGCCGCTCAGATCTGTTTGTTAAGCCATCCCGGTCCGTATTACCCAGGATTCAACGCTCCTGTCTTTGTGTTTCGGGTGGCAGACGTTGCTGCTGCTGCCGTTAACCAGTGCCTTAAAACCAGAGTCGACGACGACGATGATGATGACGATGATGATGATGACGACGATGGCCGTGAACGTCGACTTCAGGAGCTCACAGATTGTAAAATCTAAATTCTGGGCCTTTCAGCACTTAAGCCTCGTACTCTGATCGTGACGGGCTAGTTGGACAAATATAAGGCTGATACTCACGGTTCTGTTTCTGAATGTGGGCAAACGTGGGACTTTGTAGTTTGGTTTTACTTTAGCTTAGAGGCTGCACATTTAGGGCTTTGACTGAATGAGCTTTTTATGTACATAAAGAGTGATTTGATATTTTGATAATCGATTTCTATTCACTATAGTACTTAATTCATATAACAGTATTGTCACTGTTTACTGTAACTGCAATACAATCTAGATAGCCTCTGGGTTGCTGTGTTTTAATCGTGTTTTTTTGTTTGTTTTTTATTTGCATTGATTCTAGACTGTGGCTGTGATGCAGTGTAGATTTTGGGAGTGGCAGTGACAAAGATGTAACGGATCGTTAACGTTAACTTTAAAATGCTTGTCAGTGTTTGAACTAACCTATTTCTGCTAACAGTATCATCGCTGGGCTCTGAAGTGTTAGAGGTAAATTTGGTTTTAATCGTTTTTTTTAAAATATTTGTGTGACATTAACTTTTGGTCCATGTATTGAAACCTGTCATCAGTTTTGATACATTCCTTCAGGGTGGATGTATAGCCTTGATTTTTTTTTGTTTGTTTGTTTGTTGTTGGTTGTGGTGTATTTGATCCGGCGTGTAGTCAGAGCTTTTGTGTTTCCTGTCGGCATATGTACTGGTATTTTTACTCCAATCAGCACCAAAGACTGTTCATGAATCATTTCTGAAGCATGGTCGATACTATTTCTCCTTTTTCACCTCCAGCACACTGTTGCAATATTTCTCCTTGGAATATATATATATATATGTGTGTGTGTGTGTGTGTGTGTGTGTATCCTGAGATCTCTCTATTTTAAAGAAGAAGGGTGAGGTTTTTATTCTTCTGAGCTGTTTGGCTAAATCCTTTCTGGAATGTATAGATAATAAGCTGCTATGTGTTGATGATCTGCCACTTCGTAGCTGTGAACTTAGACTAATCTCATTCTAGCCTGCGTTCCCTCCTCTGTATTGTAGTGCTGGAGACTAGAAACGTTAGAAGTGGGTTCTGTTTTGATCATAGATTATATTGAATGCTACTCCTGTATATGCTAGTGCCTCTGTCTGTTGGCTTGTGTTGTTTTGAAGTGATTGTAAACTGCTGTAACGGAAGTTATGATTTTTATTTTTCTTTAATTGTTGTTATCATTTTGGCTTTTTAGTCTGTACGTTTCCCGTGTGTGTGTGCGTGCGTGTGTGTATTTAGCATCAGTATTGGAAAAATGTAGGCCCGGGTTCGCACTCTTTGACTCTGTAATCAGTGTGTTGACGTTGTTTTAATGGTCTTTTCCGTGACTGGTATTCGCAACTATCTGTACTGTACAACTAGTGCCTTTCTTCAAACCGCTGACGTCCGACGGGCGTCAACGGAAATGTCTCGGCATAATTCCTCCTGTTGGGATCAGCCCTTATTTCGTCACATCACCAAACTCCCAAAGCTTAAGTGAGAGGAGGTTGAAACACAATCTTTGATTTGTTAATCCTGACAAAAGTCCGAGTCGAGGCACGTTTTATTGTTCTGACTAAGAACTGTGGCCGTACTGAGGAGAAACACAAATGCACAGCTTTATTCTCCCACCGTTTGTGTTTGTGGAACTCCTGAGCCTTGTTTATCGGTCACGTGATTTTATGTCAGACTTTTGGTTAGCTGCACAGCACAGCGGTCACTTTTCCCCCCAAAAAAAAAAAGTCCAAATAAACTTAGATTGAGATGCTCAACCTCCAAAGATACAGAGAATAATTAATGCATCATGTGATGTGTTGACTTTGTTTTGTTTAGAAATTTAGTGATAAAGATTAAGAAGTCCTTTATTCGTCCCATAACGAGGGTTAGAAAAAAATAATCCCTTTAAAAATTAGAAAGAGACAAATCCAGAAGAGTATTTTTTTTTTCCCCCACAATCAGACGTTCAGGATTTTCAAGACTTTCTTGCTAACAGCAAAATAACATTCTATCATTATTTTGTTTTGGCATTACAAAAAAATTCAAAGTTCAGAGAGTTCAAAGTTCTGCTGAATTACAATATAATTATTAATCCGACCCCCCCACCCCCCAAAATCAAATTCAAACTGGTCATGGTCATGGACAATGACTTTTCATGCAGCTATTTACTGTTGGACGATATCAGCATGCGTTTCCGTCAGGGTTTTATTTTGTTTTGTTTTTGTTTTTTTTAATCTTGCTTTACCTGTCCATCATACTCAGAGTGTAGATCCAAAGTGTCATCAGCAGGTGGTGCTGTGTGGTTATGGTTTTGTTGTGTTGCTTCATTTTAATGGGTTTTATGTTGTGTATCAGTCCGAGTTATCTACTGTGTGCACATTTTAGCCGTGCGTGCGTGTGTGTTATAGCACAGTGATGTTTCTACGCCTGATAAGGAACATGTTCTTTGTTCCAACCTGTGGTTCGCGGCCTCTCTCTCGTCCTCTCTCCGTTCTGTCTCTCGGCTCAGCTCCTGTGATGAGATGAAAATGAGTGAAACTTCAGTGACACGCCACACTGTACTGTTGGTCACAACTGCCTGCAGTCACTGGAGGCTCACATCATTACGTTAGCATTTTAGTTAGCATCACACGTGCTAAAATGTGTATTTTCAGGGATGTATTCAACACCAAAACCCAAAATGCACATTTTATTTTACAGACACACATGCCTTTTCATGGATGTGACCTCAAATAGTGTAAAGCCACAGCTTTTCTATTATTATCATTATTAAATTGAGTTTAAAAAATATCCTAGGTTAGAATGTAATTTTGAGGGATTTTTTAAAATATTTTTTTGGAAATCAAACACTAGGATAAAAAAAGCACAGAGCTGAGCAGCTTTAGGTGACAAATCAGACCAAAAAAAATCTTCATATACTTTAATACATCTACAAAATGTTGGCAGTTGCCCCTCGATCTTTGACAGTGTTGGACACAGGTCTGCTTTGTCACCTGGTGGCCGACTCACCAAACCTGGCTCATTTCACTCAGGTACAGGGCTGAAAAACAATCTGTGTGTTGACGTCGACTTGTTTTAGGCTAGAGTTTCTCTTTTTGTACCACAGCTGTGTAATCGTGTTGACATTTATTGTATTTAGACACACAAGTATGTAGACCTGATTGCTAAAATTTGCAACTGTTACTCTTCTGAACACCTGTAGATTTGTGTGGCTTTATGATGATTTTTTTTTCCCGTTTCTTTTTATGTTTTCTTTTCCTAAAATGCTACACTAGTTTGACATGTAGCACCTGCACTGTGCAATATAAAACAATAGGAGGAAGTGGGGGAATGGTGATTTGGATGTAATACTGCGTCTTACCAGTTTTACGCTCGTTTTCTCCCTCCCCCTTCTCTGGTTCTCAGTGAGTTCAATGTGACCAAGCCTTATGTACTTTGTCACAAAAAGCGGGTCCTTCTTGGTGACTCTTATTGGTGAGTGTCAAATTATGAATTGATGGTGTACTATGTCAAGATTCACTTTGAATTAAAAAAAAAATCTTTTGCTTCAAACATTGTTGGTTGTCTTTCATTTTAAAGGAGATTCTTCACAACGGGATATATACAAACAAAATGTTTTAAATAAAAGTACTGGTACTGTTTCTTAGCTCCAATATAATCTGTATTTGGGTTGTCGGGCAGTAAGAGGAGCCACGTAACATTTATTAAACTTAAAGAGGAAAAATTCTGCTGATTTTTGCGAACTGTTTTATTTATATATTTATTTTCTATTAATATTTTCTTGACGTCTAAAATTAAATGTTAGAAAAACACTGGTTTCTGCGCCTTTACCTTTTATGGTAACGAGTCACTGCAAGCCCCGCCCACTTCCCTACGTCATGTTGCGCCTTTACCTTTTATGGTAACGAGTGACTGCAAGCCCCGCCCACTTCTCTACGTCATGTCTAGGCAGTGGAACGGAAATTGTTGCCGCCGGTCGACGATATACGATGTTTGAGCCACAGTCAGACCCAGAAGAAAAAAAAGTTAAGTTTGAAACTTCAACATTACATTGTTATTTATATCAAACCTCACTGACCGTCTCCCCCACGTTGTTACAGATTATATGACGTAGCTTCCGTTCCATTAGCGCTGTGCTAAATTAGCAGCTAGCCTGGTTCGGTCTTTGAACAAATGAGAATTGCGGGTAAAAGTTGGAGAAAAATGTCCTCGGCTTCAGGGGTTTTAACTAGTACTGAAAAATATTCACGTATATGTAATGACAACATAACAGTTCTGTTTTTAATAGTCCAGTATTTTGAAATTGGTGTGGACTTCACCGGATTCAGCCACAAGCTGTACCGTGTTAGCCTAATGAAGTCGATCCTAACACTTAAAGCTTACCTGTTAGTTTACCTGAAAATCGACGGATTTTCTTTGTTGGTGGAGATTTGTTAGTAAATATTCGTCTCTGCTTTCACACAAATTTATTCCAGACGTTCCAGCACACACAGATTTATTCCAGACGTCCCAGCAGTAATGTTTACTTTGATATCAGCATAATCGTTTATTCCAGTGAAATTACGTCCTTAGTCAATTCTGACTTGACAATACCCTCAGCTTTCACCAGAGGGCGACAGAGTTCCACAGAACGATGTCATATAAATTAACAACAAAAGACTCGTTTTCTTTATACATACGTTTAAACTAATTCAGTTAATTTGAGTTACTTTTAATTACATTTTAGAGGATTTTTTTGCAGTAAAGTAGTTTTTTGTTTGTTGCTTTTTTTTTAACCAAACTGTTTGTGTGCGTTTGTGGTAAAGTTTAATATTACAAATATAAAGTCATGTTGCTCTACATATAATTTTTTCAGAGGAACATTTGTTTTTAAGTTGAAGGACATTCTGACCATGGGACTAATGGACGTTGGACTGACTGTAAGGACATTCCGTTTTACAGATAATGGAAATAGTATTAATAATAATAATAATAACTAGTGCCGTGTCCAGAGACACAGTGTGTCTGCAGGATCTTAATATGATCAGTTTCAGCCATGGCAGGATGTTGAACAGACGGATTCTGGGATGATGATGATGATGATGATGAGGATCATAATCAGCTGTAAGTCGCTGACTCATCTGCGCTGCTGCAAATTAAAACATGTTCAGTGAAATGAAGCAGCCCTGCCTGGACGTCTGTTTCCGACAGTCTACTATCTGCTCCGCGTTTGTTTTCATTATCCTGAGGAGGTGTGTGATGAATACTGCCCCCACCCCCTCCTCTGACTATTCCTCACCACACACACAACCTTAATATTAATAAATGTATCAGCAGGGAATGGATTTCTTCCAATGACAGACATTCAATTATGTTTTTTGGTTATTCATTTCGTCCTGTCATTTACACTTTTAGTTGAGTCAGACGTCACCTGACCTGAACTCCACCACACGGGGGAGACATGTCACCTAAGACAGGGAGGAGAAAACTGTTTTTGTACATTATTGACCGTTACTTAAACGACAGTGTCATTAAATGAGAGTCATAACTGATCTGGTTTTAGCTAATTGGGTTTTTGAAAGAATCAGTTATAACAGCAGAGAGGAATCAACGCTTGGGCCTCAATTATTTATCTTTTTTTAAATTTAAATTTACTGTACATTTAATTTAGGAGCCTCTATATCAATATCAAACTATATGCGTTTTATATATGTTGTCATACTGTATATGACCACGTTTTGAGAACACATACACCAAGATCAGGTTTCCACTTCAGTTTGGTTCACACTCGCTGTAGTCGAAGAATTGATCATCTTTGATTTCTCTTCAGTAGACGGTGATATTTTAAAAGTATCTCACGGCAGATCATCAGAACTAAAAACGAAACAAAAGTTAAACTAGTTAAATCTGCCCTGCCGTAAGTTAATGAGCCCCAGCCACAGACCGAGCTCTCTCTCCAACTCCAACTGACACGCTGGGCATGGTGTTCGTCAGCAGAGGGCAGTATTGTGTTAACAAATTTTCAAAAAAGAGAGAGAAAGCCGTTCTTGTTATAAACACATGTATTTTAATTTTTTGACCAAATACATTGTAAATTACACACAGTATCATACGCTGTGCATCCAAATGTAAACTGGACCTGCACACGTGCACACAAACACGCGCATTCACGCATTATTTTCTCCTGGAGCTCAAGGACTCAAGGACACCATCAAGCCCAGCTGATAAGCGGCTTTAATTGGCTCATTTGGCCTTTAGCGCGCACTCTCTCTCTCTCTCCCTCTCTGTCTCTCTCTCTCTTTCTTTCTGTCTGTCCACTGTCCAAACACACGGAGGTGCTGTGGCGGCGGCAGCGCCTCCTCTTGGTTTATGTCTCTTTTTCTTCATCAAAAGAGTTTTTAAAAAATGTTTTTGGACCAAAATGTTTTCATGTGTAGCCGATCGACGAACCTACTTCAGCACTGATGTATAGAACGTGTGTTTTATTGGACTAAATGAACGTTAATCCACCTGCTTCACCTGCAAGCTCTGCGTAATTACGCACGGGAGAGCCACAGACGGCCCGGGAAATGGAACCTCAGACCGAGCTCCAGACTCCGGCTCTGCACCCATGAGAGCCCCGTGGCACCGACGCCGCTTCTGCCGCTGTTATCGCTGCTGCTGCTGTGGCTCCGACCGCCGCGACGGAGCGGGGGAGTCGGTGCGGAGATGGCGGCCAACCTGAGTGTGTCGGGGGAGCTGGAGGAGACGCAGCTGCTGGGGACGGGGACGAGGACGGTGACCGGGACCAACGTGCCGGCTCTGGTGTTCGGGGTGCTGCTGATCGTGGTGATCATCGGCGGGAACCTGCTGGTGTGTCTGAGCGTCCTGACGGAGAAGGCGCTGAAGACAACCACCAACTACTTCATCGTCAGTCTGGCGGTGGCGGATCTGATGCTGGCGGTGCTGGTGCTGCCGCTCTTCGTCTACTCCGAGGTGAGTGGGGGTCAGCAGGTCACCGTGGGGGTCAGCAGGTAAACGACAGGAGACACCTGGTCACCACAGGTGTGTTTCAGGACCATCAATGACTGACTCTAGTTCCTCAGGGAGATCAAATGTTCCGGAATGTTCTTTAATAGTTTGCAGTTTGTAATTTTGCAGACAAAAGATTTGGTGGAGGAGTTGAAGATGCTGATTTATTTACCGTCTGTTATTTTCTAGGATCATGTTTTCAGAGTTTCATCATCTGTGAAACTTAAAAACTGAACTGAGTCTGAATTTACATTTAAAATTTGTCTGTTTTGGTTGGAACTCCTTCAAAAACAGCCCTGATGTCAGGTCTGTTTATTAAACACACACACAGGTGTCCTTTCACCTCAGTCTAACCCCTGCCGTCCTGTAAATGTACTGCACTCACACCTACACCTTATAAATCACCTGACACACATGATCATTTTAAACTCACCACAGCTTTTAAAGGGAGGGATTTTAATTAGTTCCAGATATTTTAGATTCATCAGCTTCTTTCTCCCCGTCAGATTTGGGTTCATTAACCTTTAACTCACACCTGTCTGTGTTTTAAGGGCTTTGTTTTTGTAGTAATCACTGGATAATTGAATGAAGTGACTGCAGCGCTGACTCTTTTCTCTGAATTCCTTTCAGATCCTTTCACCAGAATTAGACAAAAGTGTCCGGCTCCCTCTACGGACGATATTTAAAAGAAGACACTAATAATGCAAAAAAGTAAGCAGTGTGCAGTGCAGGCCTTCTAAGTGTAAGGTCAAGGGTTCGATTCCCGGCTCTTACAGCCTAAAAATTCCAGCATTTGGAATACAGAGAAAAGAGCGTTCAGAATATTTGGTACATAATTAAAAATTCCAGCGTTTGGAATACAGAGTTCAGAATATTTGGTACATAATCATTTACTGCTGCTGCTGCTGCTGCTGCAACTCCATCAACAAATGTCAAGAAGAAAGCTATTTATTTTGACTTCTGGTCAAATCACTGCTGTTTATGTTTCCCATCATGCAGCACTGTTTTTTTTTTATAAAAATGAACTCAGCTTTCCACCCTAGTGATTTACATAAAGTTCATGCAGACTGATTTACTATGAATTTTTAGAATATTTCTGTTTATATCATGGAAGCATTTTTCCTCCTTTGGGCAAAACATCTTGCGTCTGATTGGACGTCTCCTCATCAATACTGGAGGAGCCTCCAGGAGGAGAAACTCTGATGAATTTACTCTGTTGTTGTTGTTGTTGTTGTTTTCGAGCAGATCAAATTATTTTGTACCACAAAAGAAACAAAATGTTGAATAGTTTTGCCTAAATTTAACATGGATTTGTGGATTTTTAAATCTGGTTTTGGCACTAGTGAAAAAAAAAATCAATAATCTTTAACGGATAATTTTAAGGGGTCGTTAATTGATTCAGTTTAATTCCTGTTTGTTTTTGGCATTTCCAATTAAAAACATAGTTTTCTTGCCGGTGAAATTAAATTTTTCAGTGTATCTAATTTCATAAAAGCCTCTTTAAATCATTAACTGTGGCGTTAATCTCTGGGCTGATGCTTTAATTGATGGATGATGGATTAGTTCTGGTGAATTCACTGCTGTTGCAGCGAAGAAGTGAAAAGGAATCTGTTTCAAACTCCTCACGATGCCGGAGGCGTTTGATTAAATAATGATGTGTTTTTAACTGTTTGAGTGGCTTTGGTTCATAAGGATTCTTCAGCATTTACATTTACGTACATATATCTCCAGACTCAGTTTTGGACGTTTGACTGTCAGGTTTACAAAGAGAAAAATGAAACAAGGTTAATAACGATAAAAAAATCCTGTGAGGTCACACTGAGGAGGAGAGATGAGCTGGAGACTGACGAGGGGGTTTGGCAGAGAGTGAAGGATGAGAATGTTCTCTGAGCTCAGGGGGTAATGACAAATATGTGGAGCAGAAATGGGACCATGGGTGAAGGTGATGGAACGCACGAGGGGGGGGCGAGGGGTGATGATGGTCGAGGGGGGGGGCAGTTACAAACGTCAGAACGTTATTTTGAGCCGCTGTAGTTGAACTTCACACTCTGGTCTGTAGTGAAGCAGTGACACAGACGCTGATGTCAGTACTGAACCTCAGTGATTCCCAACCCCTGTGCCGTGGCCCACTACTGGGCCGTGAGAGATCGTTAGGTGAACCGTGGGAAATTATTCAATTTCACTTAATTGCTCTGTCAACACAGCAACTGTTGTCGACAGGAGTTGCTGCTGGAGTTGCTGCTCAGTGTTCAGAGGTTTAGACAAAGCTGACGTGGTCAAGAAATATTTTAAAATAAAATCGTTTGTGTGTTACAATGCTTCACCTGATTCTGTGTGTGTGTGTGTGTGTGTGTGTGTGTGTGCCCCAGTTCCAGGACGGCGTGTGGACCCTCAGCACCACCATCTGTGACGCTCTGATGGCCATGGACGTGATGCTGTGCACTGCCTCCATCTTTAACCTGTGTGCCATCAGCATCGACAGGTTGGTACGGACGGCTGATGATGATGATGATGATGATGATGTAGCAGTGTGACATATTCACAGTAATGACAGTAATAATGTGTGTGTTTAGGAGTGAGTGTGAACTGCAGTTCTGCATGTTGTCAGTACTTCAGGACTGAAGGAGATACTGTTTAATTTACTACACAAATACATAAGTAATATTTTATGAATTTTCTTGAAGTTTCTCTCTGCTTATCAGCATAACTGAAAGTACCAGGGTTCTGATTACCTGCTGCTGAGGAACTGTTGGAGTCACCTGAGTCTCTGTCACAGTGGAGGACAATCAGTCTGTGATTGGCTGACTGGGTGGTGGGGGTGGAGTCAGACGTCCATGTTTCAGAACTCCTCTTTATATCTGGGCCCAGGTTTTGTACAGAAATGTGAAGGACCAAACTGTCCCGACCGTCTCCACGTCTCTGTCTCTGCAGCTTCTAGTATTTGTGTGGAGGGTAAAGTAAACAGGACAGAAACCAAACACACGACCGAGAATCAGCTTCAGGGATGATGTGGAATTTACCAGAATCCACAAACAAAGACACGTCACTGACTGAAGTGAAGTGCACTGATGGCTAAGTCCACTCCTCATGTTCAGTCTGTGGTTCTGATCCTATTCAACGTTGGGTTGGCTCAACAGAGGAGCGGGGGCTCAGTGATCTCCAGGGGTCAGAGGGTCTGAAGCCTGTAAGAGCTTAAAAAAGAAGGAACATCAGCATCAGAGTCCCAACATTTTAACGTCTCAAACCAAGGATGTGTCCGCGGTGACGAACTGCCAGCTGCTCTCTGCTCTCGTTACTTCAACTCAATCAGATTACGTCGACCGCGGGCTGATGTTTAAGGATGGAACTCTGGGCCGCGGCCCCAGGCAGCTCATCAGATCTGCTGTCCTGACTCTGGGAAATATGATTACACCAGAGACTGATGGGAGCTTCGCAGTTAACGTGGAGTGATGCTGGTGGTCTGATGCTTTTTGAGGCATTTAGAGGTTTCACTGAATGTCTGGGTCAGAATAATGAGAGAGTTCACGTAGCCCAGTCCTGTGACCTACAGGGGGAGCGTTGAGTCATCAGCCTCATCAACTCACCAGTTCTACTGATCACTGTTTTAGCCTGACGTGCTAGTTTTACACTTCCGATTCCAACATCAATGCAGGTCTGGTAATATTTATTTATTTATCTGTACAAACCACTGTATTAAGTAAATGAGCTGCAATGCTGCCATCTAGAGGCTTTTACTTTAATATACAGGTGTTTATCCCCAGAAATATTTTTACAAAAATGATCCTTACAGATATTACATAATTATGCTAATATCAGCTGATATTATCGGACATCCTGACTTTAATCTAATAACCATGAATCCCTTGACAGCCGGAAAATTACAGGTTTAAATATTTGATTAAATCCAGATCGTTCACGAGGCGGCCTTTAAATTCAAGACCATTTTCCCATTAATTAATTCATAAATGGGATAATTTATGTAATGTTGGACATCAAAGACCTCACACAGGAGATGAAGGCTGTAAACTCTGTGGTAAATGTTTAATGATGTTGTTAAAAATCTTCTCAAACTGAAAAGATCTGCAAAACCTGTGCTTGGTCCCCCTGGTGGTTAGAAGACTTAACTACATCATTGAAAAGCTACGCCCCTTCCCACATCTGAGTTCACACTGACAAAGGTGTTTTCACCGGTTCAGAGGAAATGTATCCCAGAAATATACAATAACAGCAGTTTTGGTCTCGTTAATCTCTGCTTAAGACTTTGACATTTTCAGAAATGGAATTATGTTTCTGCTGAAGGTTAGTGACTCATTAAAGCTGCAGCAGGCCGGGCCGTGGGAGAAAGTCAAATGTGGTGTTTGTTGGAGTGTAAATATCACGGGCTGTAGTGGACGGTCAGCCGCGAAAATGACCACCGGACCACGACGCACGGAAAAGTCCTGGCGTTAGACCTCGGTCTTCACGGTGGACCTTCACAGTTGCAGGTGGAACTAACGTCATTTCCTTTTGTGCAATTAATTTGTCATTAATGGTGTGAACTCCACTGATGAGTCTCCGTCACACGCCGCTCCGTCAGCGGAGAGGAAGTTGAATAAAGAAACTGTTCTGATGCTGCCGTGGGCGCCACACGGTGAAAAGGTGGTTATCGCTCTAGCCCAGCGGTCTGCAACCTGTGGCTCCTGATCCACATGTGGCTCCGCAACCTCTTTGTTTCCTGCAGGACAATGGCACACATGGAAAACTGGGATTAATATAGGCTCCTGATCCACATGTGGCTCCGCAGCCTCTTTGTTTCCTGCAGGACCATGGCACACATGGAAAACTGGGATTGATATAAAAAAAATAGGACTTGTGTAAATCGGACTACTGTTATTGTCTTTATTTTTGTCGTGTCTTAAAAGTGCTGAAGAATCTAACGTTTCGTCGTCTGTCCTGCAGATTTATCGCCGTGTCCATCCCTCTGAACTACAACAGGAAGCACGTGGACCTGCGTCAGACCGTCCTTCTGTCGGCCACCTGGGTCCTGGCCGTGGCCGTGGCCTCGCCCATCGCATTCGGCATCAACAACGTGCCCGGTCGTGACCACGGAGAGTGCAAACTGGAGAACGACGACTACGTCATCTACTCCTCCGTCTGCTCCTTCTTCATCCCCTGTCCCATCATGCTGCTGCTGTACTGTGGAATGTTCCGTGGGCTCCGGCGCTGGGAAGAGGCCCGCAGAGCCAAGCTGAGGAACAGTATTCAGGCGTGTCGTAAGCTGCAGGAGGCCGCCGCCGTCGCCGCCTCTCTGCCGCCGCTGGCCTCGTTGCCTCCACCTCTGCCCCCGATCATAGAGAGGGAACTGACGGAGACTCCAGACGAACAGTCCAACTTCATATCCGTGGACCAGAACTTCCACTCCACGGACTACAGAGACGGACCAGTGAGAACCGTCAGCTTTGCTGAGATCAAATTCCACAACTGCCCTCAGCAGAGGAGGAAGAGAGCCAAGATCAACAGCCGTGAGAGGAAGGCCATGAAGGTGCTTCCTGTTGTTGTAGGTGAGCTTCTCTTCCCAGTCAGCCACGTGGGTGGGTGCTGTTCTGGAGGTTAAAGGCTCTAAATTAGCAGTGAACCAATCAGATCAGGTCCGTATATTTAACTTTATTGTGTTCATTTAAATGACCTACAGAAAAATGACAAAAATAATTACCAGCAAACTGATAACTCTGGAAAACACCAGCGCTAACGTTAGCTACGACAGCCCTGGTACAGACACCAGCACTAATACAGATATGTTTAAATGTGATTAATTAATTAGAAAGCCTCTAATTAAGACAGTCCAACCACTAAGTTGTTATCTGGACCAACCAGGTCCAGATGTTTGTCCTAACCCTCTGTGTCTCCTGGGAAATTCCATCATAATCCATGTTTTCACACTTCAACTTTTTCACCTTATCATTGTGGGATTAGACACCATAGAAGGACACAGTCAGCTGCCCCCCTCACCCCCCC